CAAGTTGTGTTAAAGTGGAAAAGATCAATTTGGGGTCACAAGAGACCAGCAATTCAACTATGACTAAGATATTAAGGGAAGTCAAAATTGCTTGTCTTTGTAACTGTGTGGATAGAGATTAAAAACGTCAGTTCTCTGTAATGTTAATGAAAAAATTTTAAAAGGAAGTAAAACAGAAATAGTGTTTTTCAGTATTATTTTAGGAAACAAAAAAATGCCAACTCTTGTCAATGAAGTGTTGCTTGGTCAGAAAGCTATGAGCAACGTGGTCAGAGGTACAAAGTTACCGCGCACAAAGCTAAGGCTATAGAACTATAGCTTTAGACACAAACATTGAGGAATTCATTTGATGGTGCCCCCTCCACCCTGATTACCTTCCTCTCCCCTTAGCAATTGTTGGAAGCTTATATAATAGTGTCCCTAAAGATGTTAATGTCCTAATTCCATCAACTTGTGAATGTTATATTCAATGGCAAAAGAGATTCTGCAGATGTGATTACATTGAAAATCTTGAAGTGGGGAGAGTACTCTGGACTATCCAAATAATGGATTCTTAAAAAGAATTAGGAAATTAATACAGCATTTATATTTCTCTGTTATCTGAGTCATGTGGGATCTTTTTTCATAAAGTGACCCAAATCTTTTCTAGTACAAAGTCCAGCTGACTTCTCCTGGTAGTAAGGACTAGGGGCTTGCACTTGCTCAGGGCAAAATTTATTGGAACGGGTAGAACTATCCGATGTTCAGTAGAATGGGTATGACTAAAATTTGGTAGAATTGGTATGATTCTGTTGCTGAAGTTAGCATTTCATTAGAGACACCAGATATAAAGCATGTATCGACTAAAATGCAAAAGGAAAACCAATATTGGAAAATTGTTGAGCTAGTTTTCCTTGTCCTTCAGATTTTGTATCCAAGAGTCTAACCCATGATTTTGAGCAATTCCATAGTCAGAAAGCTGAGAGGCTAAGTGTCCCATTCAGGGCCGGAACTAGCATTTAATTCCGGGGCAGGTAGACAGAGATACCTTGACCCTCAGAGATGTTCCCCAACTCCAGACTGACACTCAGAATTTGGGTCGCCTGAGTCCACATGGTTTGGGGCACTAGGGATAACACTGCAGTCAAGATTGTCCAGATTTTAGGGTCTGTGAGATAATAGTTTTTGATCAAATTATGTCATGCATTTGTTTCCATTCCAGGGTAAGTTTTGTAGTAGTTTGCAAGAATTCTGCCTATGAAAAGTTGACCATAGTAACTTGATGTTACTAGTGCCTGTCAAGTTCATTCCAACTCATGGCAATTCCGCCACCCCATGTGTGTCAGAGTGGACCTGTGCCCCACTGGGATTTCAATGGGTGATAGATCACTCGTCCTTTCTTCCAAGGTGTCTCTGGGTGAACTTGAACCTGGCGCTTCAGGCTAACGGCTGAACATGTGAACTGCTTGTACTACCCAGGAATTATGGCAGCTCCTGAAAAGCTCTCTAATGCTTTTCTCATCTAAACCACCACATTCCTTCTATTCAAAACTAGGAGGAAAGTAGAAGGATAGGAGGGATCTCCGCACCCCTACCCTACATCTGGAAAACAAAAGTGCAATTATAAACCCAAGCACAGATTCTTTATTTTCTGAAACAAAGAGTCTTGGTAGTTGCCGTTTCCATTGATCACACCACACCACAAATCGATCATTGAGCACCTCCTCTATTTGACACAGGAAGCATCATAGTACACATTGTAAGCACAGAGCTGCTCACCAGAAGGTCATTCATTATTCAGAGTCACTAGTGGCTGCATGGGAGAAAAGACCTGGTAATCTGTGTCCATCATGTGTTCCACCTGTGGACCGATCCCACGATGTCATAGAGGCGTGCTATGAGTTGAAATCAACTCAAGAGCATATAACAACCTTATCTGACATCGTGCTAAAAAGCAAGCCACTGACAGCATTTCTCCCAAGGCATACCATTTCACTAACTTCCATTTTATCATTGCAAAGAGTCCGCTCATAAGTTATGTCAATGGGACGTGAAATGAAGAAAGGGATGGCAATTGACTTTAAGTAAAGGTGACTTAAATACAAGAATAGACTCTTCAGAACACACACAAGCAGGAACACTCATTCCTATTGTCCTCACTTCCCTATTTCTTACTTGAGTTCCTCATATTTCAAGTCAGATTCAGAACCATCCTGTCACCTTTGACGGCTTATCTCCCTGCCCGCCCCCAAATGTCACAGGAAAAAATCGGAGGAAGAACACAAAAGATGGGTAAGAAAAAAAAAAAGAGCGAAGGCAAAGGTAGTTGAACTATTTCCCTCACTCATAACTGGGCAATCAGAAAAGGTTTCATATAAAAACAGAAAGTACTACACTCTATGATTTTCTTGCCTTTCTCCTAAATCCTTGTATATCTTCAATGCTGGTATTAACTAGCCAGTGTTTTCCTCAGGGACGAATGTTTAAGTCTCTAGTGAAATAAGACCAAAGGATCTGGCTGATAAATTATAAACCATTCAAAATCCCACTGGATCAAAATATTCCCCTGCTAGCCTGTGACAGCAACTGAAGTGGTCATGTGTCATTCAGCCATAATCGGCAAATGGCAATTCTATATTTACAAGACTTCCAAGTTGCAGTGTTCATTACAAAAATAGGAGAAGGCCATGTACAGAGATAAACTGGCTTTTTCTTCTTCAAAAATTTTGATAATACTAACGATTGTGTTCATGTTTAATGAACAAAGGGTGATTCATTGGAAAATGCCCCTTTCTAGTGGAATGTACCTAGAATTTTAAGAGATTGTCTTAGAAGAATCTTTTACAAAGGGACTTTAAAAATAAACTTAAACATACTTGTCTGTTTGGGCTTTTCAAAAGAACCTGGTGGCAATGGCAAGCACAGACTAAACCAAGTGTAACCATAACCCTGTCTAGTCACTACCGTAGGCTACCAATAATGATTGGAAAACGGTCCGGCATATGTCAGGTGACCAGGTTTCTAGTCCTGGGCTTTCTGTTAACTAGCTGTGTGGCTTTAGAAAAGCAACTTCCTTTTGGCAGGCCACTATTTTCTAATAGGAAAAGAGAAATTTTGGTCTAACGCAAAAATAAAGAGCCGTCTGCCTCCGCAGAGTGTGTATCATAAAAGGCTCTGACACTTGCTTTTGAACACAAAATTAGCTAAAGTGAGTGGAAGAAAGGAAGTAAAAGAACTGAACAAAACACTTCAAAAGGCAGCTCCAGGATACAAAGAATTAGGATGAGATCTGCAAAGAACCGGAGTTAGAGCACAAAAAGAAAGAACATTCTGGGGGCTTCTCAAGGTCAAAGGACGGGGGAAAAAAGGTCAAGTCTCAAGATGTAATGTTGAAGGATTCTATAGACAAAATACTTAATGATGTTGGAAGCATAAAAAAAAAGGAAGGAACATAGCACAGAGCCAATGTACCAAATACGACTGGTTAATGTTCAATCGCTTCAGGAGTCGCATCTGTTCAGGAAGTAGGAGTATGGAAGGACGCCGACCAAACTGCATGGATGGCACTGGCAAAAAACCAAGGCTCCAGGCATAAAGGAATTACAGATGCAACACAACATATTGTCCCTATAACGTCAAGCGTGACGTTTCCGTAACGTTTATTATATGTATATTTCTAATATATATTGATAACTACGAAAGGAAAGAATAAAAACAAAAAAATTTTTCTTGAAATTAAAAATGCAGGCATTCTAGGGCTAAACTATAACAAATATGGATGAATTACAACAAACACATGCATTGCTATAAGCCCTCTCTCATCTATGCCCAAAGATTAGAAAATAATTCTCTGAACAACCAACTGGAAGAGATCCATATTAATGTCCATCTTCAAAAAAGGCAGCCGAACAGAATGCAAACATCATTGAAATATTGTAATTCAAAGAGGTCTGTAGCAGTTCCTTGAGAGGAAGCTGCCAGAAACTCAGATGGGATTCAAAATAGGATGTGAACCGAGGGCTGTCAGTGTTGGTAGCTGAGGGCCCTGGGCTGAAAGTGACTGACAGATGAAATGGGTTTACCTCTGCTTTGCTGACGATGCAAATGCATTAAGTGTGTGGATCCTCGTAAATAACGGATAACACTGTGCAAAGTGGGGATTCCAGAACACTTCATTGGGCTCCTGGACAGCCGCTACATAGACCAAGAGACTGCCATTCAAACAGAACAAGGACATTCTACAAGGTTAAAAATCAGGAAAGATGCATGCATCTCACGCTTGTCAGATAATACTCAGTGCACTCTTTCCTTCTGCCGGCTCCTATCTTTTAGTTAATAGACACGGAGAAGACTCACATCTCACTCTTTAACCTAGGGAATTTCCAACACACCTAAAAGACAGAGTTGATTCACTTTAAAAGGTACGCACTGCCTTCAGGAAGCAAGGACATGTAATCATACCCCCGTCTGTAGCTCTCACATTCCTCTCGTTTAGGGTCTCACAACTGTTTACTTCCATTGGGATCGCTGAGGCATGGAGGTGACAATCAGGAAAACAGATCGGACCAAAGAATTATTTAGAAGGATCTATTCACCCGCAGATTTATTATATCTTCATTCCCTTAATGGACATTGATTGAGGATGTGGTATATATAAGACAGTGTGCATCAGGTGAGGCACAGAGAACAACGTACAGACTGAAAGGGCAGAAGGACATAGTTATTCTAAGCCTCGATCCCCATCTTTATGTTGTCTGCAGGGTATGAGATGCCGTAGGATAAAATAGTAAACTCCGCGGAAAATAGAATTTAGTGAGCCTTTAAATTATGTTGACAGATAAAAGCAGAAATGTCAAATTTAGTGTCCTACTGCAAGAACATGACCCCAAAGTACACAGCAACTTGTATACATTTAGAAAATCGCAAACAAAGCATACCACGGCCGGCCCCTTGTCAACATCTTCACCGGACCCCCAATTAACGTTAAAGCTCGTTTCACTTGCCTCACTCTTTCTACTCACCTCGTTCCTGACTCCGACGGCGTTTCCAATAGAACAAGATGGAGACCAAGATCAGGAGAATGACCAGCGACACGACACTCAGCAACAGAGGGATCGAAAGCCAAAAGTCTAGCGAGTTGAAGAGATAAAGAAAGAAAACAAAATTAACAGAGGAATTGTTACAAGCGGAAAAAAGTAATAAAAAAGCTGTTTGTGTTAGGATTTGGCTTTCGATGACAATTATCACCAAATACCAAGGCTGTGTGGTTTCTGTTCATGACCTCATTTTATCTTATTAATATGTGAGTAACAGTATGCTTTATAGGATCGCTATACGATAAGAGCTTTGTGTGTGTTATTACCTGTAATCCATATAATATTCCAAGAATTAGGTGTTGTTATCCATCTCCCTATTTAACAGATTAAGAAGCCGAGGCTCACGGAAATCCAGCGGCAGCAGTCTCAGGCCCAGGACTGCACGGTAGCTCAGCCTCGGTCAGAGGTTTGCTGGCCTCCAGGACAGAGACTCCCCTCTATGGAGTCCAGTAAATGCCTGAATTTTTAACTTCAGGACAAGACATTTTTTTGCTTTTATTCTTTACTTTCAGTTATTAATATATATAACAACCAAAATATATTTTAAAAATATAAAATTTGCAATGTTTTTAAATGTAACCAAATTGTCACAGTTATCATTTTGGTACCAGATACGTTGTAATTCAATGTTACGGAAACGTCTCGCTTGGCGTTAGAGTTAGAGTAACATATGCCGATTGAGGAAAACGGGGTAGCCAGTGAAATGTAAAGGACCCACTGTGCCTGTCATGATCCCTATCCCTAGAAATAACCTATCTGCCTGTGTTGAATGCATTTCTTCTAATCGGGTGCTGTGTTATTCCATTTCTTTTCTATCCTAGTCTGTCTTATCCCTGTTAAGGGAAGCTCTGCTGACAGCTATTTAGCATCCTAACAACACACACATTCCAGTGACAGAGAGGAAATGGCTATGTATGGGTGTCTTGCATGAAGGTGAGAACTCTATTACGACAACATGATTGCCAACAAAGTTCTCCTTAAAAGTGTCCAACTTGGGGGGTGGGCCGGGGGTGGAGTGGAGACCCAAAGCCCATCTGTAGACAATTGGACAGCCCCTCACAGAAAGGTCACAAGGAACGGAGGAGCCAGCCAGATGAAACACACAGCATTCCTCTAGTTCTTTACTGCTTCTTCTTACAAACCGGCTAGACCAGAGCATGTACACTGGTACAGATAAGAGATCTTGACACAGGGAATCCAGGACACATAAACCCCTCAGGGACAATAATGGGAGTAGCGATACCAGGAGGGTAAGGGGAAGGTGGAGGAAGGAAGAGGGAACCAATCACAATGATGGACATATAACCATCCCAAGGAGGATGAACAACAAAAACGTGGGTGAAGGGTTGATGTAAGATATGAAAATAATGATTTACAAATCACCAATGATTCATGAGGGAGGAAGAGTGGGGGAGGGAGAGAAAAAACGAGGAAGCTGATACCAAGGGCTCAAGTAGAAAGAAAATGTTTTGAAAAGGATGATGGCAACATCTGTGCAAACGTGCTTGACACAATGGATGTTTGGATTGTTATAAGAGCGGTAAGTGGTGCCAATAAAATGATATTTTAAAATGTCTAACTGCAATCGTGTTTGTTTTGACTAAATTTCCCCAAATATACACTTTCTGATCCATCTGCTGTTTGTCCAGAAAAGCCTAAAGAGAAACCCATTAGCGGCGGCTGCCCCCTTGTAAGCCCAGGACGGCTCTGCCCAGGTCTTGCTATTCAAAACGCCACCCTCCCGATTCCAAAGAGAAAGAGCAGCAGTGGTCCAGGGGAGGTGCGTTCTGAGGGCTTCGTCCAGAGTTATCGCTTCAACACTCTCTAACTGTCATCTTGAAAATATCTGATCGCGGAAACCACTGTCCATCTCATTGTCTCCCCCATCATCTTCCGTCCTTGTAAGGATGGGGCTCAGAGATGGCGGTTTAGATAGAAACCCCAGAGAGCCAAAGCGGCCTTGACTGGGAGGCAGTTGGTTTTAAAAGACTCCTCCGATCAGCTCCTTTACAAGGATCTTTCCCCCAGGTAGGTGGTCACAGGTTTCATCAGGTACGTCACCTGCAGGAAATCTTCCGTCCTCTACCTCGAGCTTGCCTCTTTCTACGCCCAGTCCTCTCCAGTGCACGCTAATGAAACCACTGAACACGCAGCTGCTGTTCAACTGCCCATCACTTCTCTGTCTTCCCTGGGAGACTAGAAGCTCTCTGTGGGCAGGGACTGTCTTGCCACTGTTGTCGCTCCCACATTCGACCCTGGCGTGGCACACAACAGACACTCAGTAAAAGTTGTTGGAATGCCACACATGAGTGAGTGAATTTCAACAAGAGCATTTGGGAGACAGGTAACTGTTTCTGGAAATATGCTTCATTTGCTTTCCCCTCCCTCCCCTAAGAAGCCCTCTTGTTTAGAGAGGGAAGGGCTCTGCTGGAGACACTACCTGCCAGGTACGTGCAGCCAGCTGTGACCACAGTCAAAGTCCCCCACCTTCCCTTACCTTTGCTCACGGTTTGTCGGAACTCCGTCACATTCCCCAGGTGCAGCACCTGGCAGATCACCTCCTTCCCCACTTGACTGCTGGGGTCTTTGACCTGCAGGATGCTGGTGACGGACGTGGTCCCATTGGGGTGTGAGAGGCTCTCCGTGCTGTTCTCAATCCCCGACTCGGCCACCTTCCAGGAGATCCTTGGGGCCGGGCGGGCAGTGGCAGAGCAGGTGATATTTAAGTGGTCTTCAAAGAACTTATAGTAAAAGGATACTATAGGCTGTACTGGGACAAAAATAAATAAATGATAACTAGATAAAGAGATGATAGATAGATAATACATAAATAAATAATGGCCTGATGTCCATTCCACACCTGCTGGGGCCTTTTATTCACCTCAGGAATGAGAGCAAGAGCGAGAGCGAGAGCGAGAGCGAGAGCGAGAGAGAGAGAGAGAGAGAGAGAGAGATCTATACAGACAGACAGCGGTGACAAGGAAAGACAAGGTAGAACATCTTACCCCAACTGGGTCTGCCCAGTTCATTTAGACTAAATCTCAAGTCCAAAGCAGCAGTTCTCAACCTATGGGTCGTGACCTCTTTGGGGGTCGAAAGACCCTTTCACAGGGGTCGCCCAAATCATAACAGTAGCACAATTACAGTTAGGAAGTAGTAATGAGAATAATTTTATAGTTGCGGGGGTCCCCACAACATGAAGAACCCTAAGAAAGGGTTGTGGCATTAGGAAGGTTGAGAACCACTGGTCTAAAGGGTGGAGACTGATGAGCTAAACCCATTCCAAATGTGTCCCTAAGACAATTAGCTAGATGGAGAGAAGCCATTGAGTGGTCTGGGATGGCTCGTCTCTCCCAAGCTATCCATATTTTATTTCATCTGCTTTCTCCAAGGAGTATGTAGTATTCTGCTCAAATAACTTGGCAATAATCCAGGGCTTGCCACTCCCAGCAAGTCGCCTGCACTTCTTAGAAGCACCGAAACAGAGAGCCCATAGAGAAGGGCTGCGTAAAGGTGGCTGTCCCCTGGAGCTAGACCACTGGATGAAGTACCTGGAAGAGACACAGGACATCCTTGTTTGGCAGATGCACAGAACCCAAATGACAGCATGTGAGAGAGAAGGTCCCGTCCCCACGCCGCAGGCTAGCTGCAGCCTGCTCTCTTCCAGAGACTAACAGTTTGTTCTCCTAGGCACGCAGCTTATCTCTGGGAACAAATACAGACTTGTCTTTCTGTGGTTGTCTTTGGGAACCCACAATGTAATGAAAAGAAAAACTAAAAATGTACTACATGTCCTAAAAATCCCAAACAGGGCCTGTGTTTATACACTCAGGAATGATATGGTAGGATGAAGGAAATGAGGGTGCAGGGCTGTGGTTCCGTTCAAAGAATGACAGCTAATTAACTTCCATGTGCGCTGGGGGTTAAAAGACAGAAAAATAAAGAAATAGCAGGGCCGCTGATGTGGTGAGACTGGATGTGGTGAGGAATGGCAGAGATGAAAGCCGTCCACTGTAGTTAGAAAGAGCCAAAATAGAAGACATTATCACAATTCTTGGCTAGAAGACCAAGGGGATTTGGGTTTGGGGGCTAAAAATTAGAAGGATGCTTATGCGAGCAGGAGTGAGGGAGTAGGAGAAAGAATGGGGGACAGAAAGAGACGAAAGGCACAGAAATGACACAAGGAGTCACAGGAAACAAGAAGGGAAGGGAGAGAAGGAGGGAAAGAGGGAAGACGGATGGAGGTAAAATAGAAAGAACAAACAAAAGACGTGACACTCAAGAAGCTAGCTGGCAATGAATCCTGCACAGAGGCCTCACAGGCAAAAGAAGTGGAAGACGTTTCTATGAGGTGTGCTCACACCTGCCTTGCACGCTTACCAATCAGCCCCCTCTTCCCTCCTGGCCAATATTCTTGGTGTGCTCAAACTCTCTTTTTAATATTCCTAACTCTGACCTTGTCCTTCTTCTCTTAAAATAACCACCAAGTGTCCCATGCTCTGAAGTTACTCCCGATTGCTTCTTCTCGACCCTTCATCTCAGAATCTCATCAAGCCAACAATCCTGGGTTTACAAGAAAGCATGTGATTTGGTGGATGCCAAACCGATGACACTTCAGGTATGATGAGTCTCTTCTGCATGTTTGGTTTCCAATCCTTAGGCAAGCTTCCTTGAAGCAAAATGGGAAGCTATCACCGCAGCTTCAGGGACCTTTAAAAGCATCCGTCTTTAAAAGCAGTAAGTGGGCAGACTGAGAAACGCAGGTGCAGAGTGGCCACGACCCCTCTAGGTTCACAGATGATTGGTGGCAAAGCCAGGTCTGGCCCAGATTGCTACTCATGGGGAGCTTAACATGCTCATCGGCATCCTCAACTTACTGTTACCAACTGGGATTTTTAAAAAAAATGTTGGTATTAGTTGCCACCAAATTGGCCTCAGCTCATGAGGAAGCCTAAATGCAGAGTAAAACTGTTTCATAGGATTTTCAATAGCTGCGACATTTTAGAACTACAGCCTCAGTCCTTTCTTCACTTGATCTTAGCCAAAAGGCCGAGAAGCGGTCTCAGTCCTTCCTTCAAAGAACCTCTGGATGGGTTCAAACTGGCAGCCTCTTGAGTAGCGGCCAAGTGCTTACCCATTTACATCAACCTGGGCGTCCACAGAGCAAAGACTGCTATCTGATAAGGTCTCGATGAGGCCCATCACTCTCCAGTCCCCATAACCATTGCTACAGTTGACTTTGCCTCACATAGTTCAGATACGTTATCAGGAGAGTTCAGTCCCTGGAAAAACGTGTCCTGCTTGGTAAAGCAGAAGGCCAGGGAAGGAGCGGAACACGGTAGCTACAACCATAATCTCAAACGTAACAACAGCTGTAAAGACGGCACAGGGCCAAGAGGCGTTTTTTCCTATTGTGAGTGGAGTCACGCTGCGTCAGAATGGACTGGATGGTACCAAACAACAGCAATATTAGGTGTGAGAGACTAACATTTCAGCGGCTAGAGCCTCCGGCACTAGGCACATCAACCATGCTTCCAACATTCTTGAAAATACGTCCAGCAAATGCAACGTATTTTCAGACTCACCATAGAGGGTGAGGCAGGTTTTTCCTGAGATCGTCCCAGAACCAAAGGTATTGAAGAGGCACATGTAACAGCCCTCGTCCTCCAGGGTGGCATTCCAGAAGGTTAGGGTTGAGTCACTGAGTCCCAGATGTGTGATGTTTACTTTGTTTGTGTAGGCAGGCTGAAGCACAACTCCACTGTTCTTACTGAAAGTAATCATATTTTCGGGACCCGAAGCCTTAACTTTCTGCCATGTTACAATCAGGACTTCCTGGTAAGTCCGCAGAGAGCACCTTAGGGAGGCAGGTGTATTCAGTAGCTCTCTTTCATTCTTGGTCATCACGTGCTCTAGGAAGAAAAGCATGTATAGTCTAAAACTTAAATCTACAAAACAGAAAAAAATAGACAGATGAAGCTCACGGCCATCGAGTGGATGCCAACTCATAGAGAGCCTATAGGACAGGGTAGAACTGCCCTTCTTTGAGTTTCCTAGACGGCAACTATCTACGGGACTATCATGTTTTGTCTTTCTCCTGCAAAACCCATGGTGGCTGACCTTGAGCAGCGCAGCCCAACACATAGCACTACATCAGCAGGGCTTCTGTAAAATATAGAAAAGGAATTATAAATTCATATAGCTAACCGACAACAACCATCTATTAAAATCTGTGGAACTGTTCATTATATTATAATCAGCAAACCACTTCAAAGAGAGAAATGTTTAATTGTAGCCATATTTATTAAACGTTCTCAACTCAAAGGCTCATGGCCATCGAGCTGATTTTGACTCATAGTGACCTACAGGATGGAGTAGAACTAACTGCTCCTGTGGGATTCTGGGACTGGAACTCGTTGTGGGAGTGGAAAGCCTCATCTATCTCCCGTGGAGCAGCAGCTGGTGATTTCAAACTGCTGACCTTGTGCTTAGCAGCCTAATGCATAAGCAATCTACCAGCAGAGCTCCTCTATTAAAAACTCAGAAATGACTTATGCAAACACCCTCCCCAAACTGAAATAAATTAACTAAATAAATGAATATAGACCATAAAAAGCATGAACTAATCAAATCATTCACAACGTGTTACTGGGCCCAAAGCATAAAAATATGCCATGATTATTTGAAGATTACTACCATAGAGAAATTGCAATTTAAAAAAATGAAGGCAATTATAAACAGGGGTCCCAATCAACATCAGCAATGAACAGGCAGGACTGACAACACATACCAATGGAAAACGTGTCATGTAACTCCAAGTCTGATGCATGCTCTTGGAAGATGGAAAAGTCCTTGGAGACAATACCTGATGCTGAGGTTGGAGCACCCAGAAATTTTATCAAGAGTTTACAGAGACTGGAAACGAATGCTTTTAGAATGGACCATGAAGAAAAGGATGTGGTAGTTAGAGATCATGACCACTAGACGGTCATGGCCAGTGGCGAAGTCAAATCTCTTATTCAAATGGTAGCTGGAGCACACCTCCTTAGGATGTGGTCTTTTGTGGGCAACCTGGGAACTTCCTCCTCTCTCTAGCCCTTTGCCTTCCTGCTTTCTGGGATTCTGCCAATGACTCCGGGAGCTGTGGGTGCCCTGCTGTGTTTCCATTGAATTTGCACCCACAGGACTCTGCACCTGCCGGCCTGTGATCTTTTGGCTTCTTGGTCCTCTGTCCGGGTCTGCGGTTGCGTGGTCTGCAGAGATTTATGGACTAGCGTTGGACTTGAGTTGGACTGGCCTAGGATGCCTTCTTGATCCATAATTATTTATCAGTGTGATGCTCTTTATGCATAGATGAATGTCACTGGATTTGTTTCTCTAGACCACCCAACCTAACGCTTTCTGGTACTGGGAGTAGGGTAAATGGTAAACTACAGCAACCCAATCCTGACATGACCACTAATGGCCCAGACCCCTTAAGAGCGAAAGTCAATTGGAAAAGTGAGGTCTGTATTTGTCAGTAGTTTCTCTCTCTATAAATATACATCGGATATTTTTCTCTTCTTCATCTATAATACATTAGATGCAAAACAGAGTGAGGGTGCTTCTGTCTGTTCGTGTGTTGACTGTATGATGTTAGGTGCAAGTATGGTTTTCCTTGTTTATTTCTATGGAATTGCACTTAGATCCTGTGGCAGGTACAAGCTGGTGCCTTCTATCACTGGCACCACTGGAAAGCCAGGGAAGGTGGTGAAAGGACAGCATCCATGTAAGGGGTGGGTGGCTTCCAGGGGAATGCAGGACAAAGATTGGGTGCAACTGGGAAAATCAGCGCTCAAAGAGGGCGTACAGGCACACTTCCCGCCCAAGAGAGAGGAGTGGACCCCAGGATCCTGTATCTCTCTCTTTCTCAGTTATGTCCTGTAACTAGGCACACATACCATTTTAAGGCTTATTGAAAATTATTTTCTTAAAGGTTATTATATCCATTCATGCTGTCTCGAGCATCCCCATTACAAACACAGGACATATATATTTTTAACTTAAGTAAAAAATATTAATTTAGTTAGAACAAATAAGAATATGAAAAGAAATATATATGTGTGTGTAGACACACAGACCCACCCACGCCCACACACTTGCAACACTCTGGTGTTTCTGTGGGTTCGATATTGAGCTCCTAACTGCGAGGCTGGTAGTTCAAACAGTCAGTGCCTTCACAGGAGAAAGATGAGGTGCCTTCTCCCACGAAGGCAGATTGAAAACTATCTACAGGGTTGCTATTAGTCAAAATGGACTTGATGGCACAGAGTTGGAGTATGTAAACACATATATTTTTGTTTTCAGTCGGGTCCATCTGCGGAAACAGCTTTTAAACACCACAGGGTTCTTCGACACAAAAAACAGAAAGGTAGAGCGCGGAGAGCCACTCGCAAAGCTCCAAGCAAATCATGCTAAATAACTCATGGAAACAAATGGAAAGAACACAGCACAGGCAACAGGGGCCAAAGGGAATGGCATTGCTGGGCTCCAAGCAAGAGGAGAGAGTGCATTTTACCTTGAGCCTGGCACAGCACCAGGGTTGCCAAGCTGCAAATCAGCCTGTAGGTAGACAGATGGTAGAAGAACCTCTCCTGCACCTGCGGACAGAGAGCAAAGGACAGCAAAGGGAAGTGAGATGCGAACAAAGCCAAAGGAACCTCCGTCTCATCGTTTGTTCAGGGGATGTTGTCACCAGACTTTCGACCCACCAGAGAAATCTGGTTTCATAAAAAATGAACTGGAGATTACATAAACAGACAACATAACAGGAGTGGGCATACAAAATGGAGATAAACAGCCGCAGGGCTACTCGATTATAGCAATCCCTGACTGTGTGGGGTTTTGTTCCTTAAAAAAGTATGGTGTTAGCAACGTGACTACAGCCTAAAGCAAGTTCTCCAAGACAGAGATTCAGGAAGACAGCAAACTGTCACCAATATAAACGAAGACACAGTGCCACATAAACGTCAGCCAGCATCCTCTTTCAAAATAATCCACATCTGTTCATGCTTAAGAAATTCAGCTCAGAGGTAACTACTTTTCAGACATTTTGTGATGCAATTTCCAAAACTCGCAGGGCAGACTTCCCTGCAAGTCCTGGATGTCAGCTGTCCTTGAGACAGCCTCCAACGCCTACAGATTGAACCTGGGGCCACGATGGTCCACAGGGTTTCTCTGGGGGATTTTTTGGAAACAGAGCTTCAGGCCTACCTTCCTTCTCTGTCTTGGTCTCGAAGCTCGAATCAACCCCATTCTGCATTCGAGAACACCCACCAACAGGGAGTGGCTGCCGCGAGGTGTAGGTGGAAGAAGTCTACCATGACATGAGCACTGCCCTCTCTCAAAACCAGTATTGGTTTGAAATCTGCTGGTCGGCCTTTCTTTCTTTCTTCGTTGCTTTGTTTTCAGGTGTCTGGGCAGGAATTCTCACACTCTTTTATAATCATGGTGGTAGTTGAGGAAATGCCATTCTCAATCATTGGAAAAGTGAGGAACTGGCAATTCGGGGAATACATAACTTGGCTCAAGTCACACAACTAGATTTTAAACCCAGAGTTAATAACCATAACCAGCACATATACTGTCTCCCTAGGTAGAGTAAAAGACACTGGGTCAGTTTAAGTATTTACCTAGTGTTACCAGATTATCAAAAAAGCAAAACGAAAAACAACAAGGTCACCGTCATTGACTCAAAGCAGCCACAGCACAGGACAGGCTAGAGTTGCCCCTGTGGGCTGTGGAGACTGTAACCCTTTCTGGGGCAGAAAGTCTCATCTTTCTCCCGCCGACCGTCCGACCTTGCAGTTGTAGGTGTTCCACACATTGCCTTGGCACTTGGGTTTGAGCCATTCTTTCTACTTGAAGTGCCTTCCCCTCGCATCAAGTCGGGTCTAACTTCTCGTATGTCCATTTGCATTCATTTCAGTGCCTGGGTTCTTTAGAACTCTTAGTGACTGAAGCCCTTTCAAGCCTCTCCACCCAGTCCCTAATTTCTTGGGTCTCCCATCCCACTGCGTCTGCATCTTATTGCACCAGACAATAAGCCCTGTTTGCAGGATCAGAGAAGATGATCATTTCTTAGGTACAATTAGTAGGCTCTTTACACATGTACAGCCACACATATCCCTGAGACACTGAGCCACCATTCTAACCCTGCTTATTTTGGAACGCCCCACATCCTGAGCTCCTTTAGACCCCACAAATGTCCATTCTCCCTTGTCCATGGAAAAAGGAAATCTACCACCAAAACCAAACCTGCTGATTCAGAAGCCACTGTTCTCCGGCAGCCCACGTGAACATGCTCGAGTTGGGGCACTGCCTGCTTGCTGGAATGGATCTTGTCTCCTGCCTGACTTTCTTATTTCCGCCTCAAGGAATTTCCATATGGGGTTCTGCCTACGTTATTTTTTTGTTACCAAGACCAATAACATAAATATGTACCAAATCCTGTTGTTTCAGCAAGATACCACAGCCCATCACTCAATTCCATTAGCTACTGCTTCAATAAATTCAGTACAGCTATTCCATTCTGAATTTATGTTTTTATTTGTCCCTGCTTGGTTCCAGCTTCTACTACTATCATCTGAAACATATTTCAAGAATATTGGTTTATAGTCACTTAAAAGGCCTTGGCTTAGTGCTAAGATTTTATTATGGATTGTGTTCCAGTTCTGTAAACTCTACCTCATGGCGATTAAAAAGAAACAGAGAACAACAAATGCTGGAAAGGGTGTGGAGGTATTGGAACTCTTGTGAACACTGCTGGTGGGCTTTTAAATACATACAACCACTGGGGAAAAGCGATATGGTGATTGCTAAAGCAATTGGCAAGAGAAATATACTGCAGAGTAATACTATTGCTGGGCATATAACCCCCCAACCCCCCCCAACCCCACCCCACCCGCAAATAAGAGATAGATCACAGGCAGACATGTACTCTATCATGTCCAGATAAGGTAACTCTGGAGGCAGATAATAGCATTCCAGCTCTACTTACTTCATTATCTACCTGTCTGTCTGTCTATCTATCTATCTATCTATCTATCTATCATCTACCTATCTATCTGCCTGTCTGTCTGTCTATCCCTCCATCCATTGATCTATTTACTAAGATACCTCACCTTCACATGGGAATCTAGGCAAAATCTACGAAGACAAACCTGGAATGGCTATTAATACACCATGAAGTCATGTCATGAGATAAGACGCATGTATGAGGAATCAACCATATTTCATATGATCGAACGCAATGAAACAAAGGAAATCAGGAGAAAAACCTTGCTATAATGTACATATATAGATGTATTTTAATTTTATACAGGTTTTTTACCCCCTCTAGTCTAAGGAGGGTCATGGAAGATTTTATTGTCTGAAAACATGCATATTGATCTGTATTCTGGGAGGCTATCTGTGGATGGTAGGGAAGGGCAAAGACTCCGAAATGGCTGGAGTTGGGCAAAAACAACTACCCCATGAGAGAGAGGGCAAATCATGTCACCACATGGAGACAAAGGGACAAATAATGGGTCTCTAACAAGAAGAGGCAGCTAAACGCAGAGAATTTCCCAGGTCTCTCCCCACCACGCCAGGATCACAGCAGGAGATTGCATCCCTTTTCAACTCCCCCTCCCCCGAGTCCCCAAATCAGCTCACCTGCCTCTTCATCTTTATCTGCAGGCTCCTGCACCAGGGGCTTCAGCCTTGGCTCCTTGCAGGGCTCTCAGTCGGGGCGGTAACCATGGAGCTGCGGAGAACTGTAGCACCGCCCATGGTGTCGTCAGCTTACCAAGAAATGGCGCAGTCTTGCATTCAGGTTGGGGAGGCCAGGTGTGGCGTTCCCAGTGTGTTTAGAACAACAATCTCTGCTTGTGGGGGAGGGAGAGGAAATGGGGGCTGGGAGGGTGAATTCTTTAAACAGGGGCAGAAACTGCAGTGGGGAACTACAAAAGGGGCTTGCAAATAGGAGGACTTGTGTAGCTGAGAAATGCGAAGTTTCTCTTTCTTTCCCTCTTCGGGTAATGTAAGCAGCGGCACTTTCAAAGAAAAGACATCTTCGTGTACTATTTGGATCCAGACTCCAGTGAGACCTTCAAGCACTCCGCTCTGTAAGGACCTCCCCTTCCCTGCTCTCACTTTCCCCTTCAGCGCCCACTATTGGGAGTGATTGGATTTTTCTTTCTTTTTTTTTTTTAAAGCAAAAGGCTTCTTCACCCCCTGAGAAGAAGCCTTTAATAGACCAATACCATAAAGGAGGGTAAATCTATACATAGAAAGCAAAAAAAAAAAAGATCTTAAGGAATTTAGCAAATACAAACATATACCGGAAAACACATCAGGATGTGTAAATAAGACCATCATGTAAGGAAAATCACAATGACTAAAAATATATCAAGACATGCTTATATTTATTAAGAATCAGAAAAAATATAGAGAGTAAAGCAGCCATTTACTTGTTGGTAGTAAAGGGATCCACCAGGTGAACAGAAACATGAATATTATATAATATTTACACTCAGGAAATTAGAGTTCCATAGCTGAACAAATTTTTTCATTCACTTATCTTTGTTGCTGCTACCAAATGTATAATTCCAGGTAGAAGGTTAATTAACATTCACCTTTGAAATAAACCAACACCCAACACACAAGAGTGAATTCTGTTTCACAGGGACCCTATAGCACAGAGGCCTGCTCCTCCAGGAGAAGGGACAGAGGACACTCTCACCTCTTGATCCCAGAGTGGATGGTGGATTGGAACTGCTGACCTTCTGGTTATCAGCTGAGCTCTCACCACTGGGCCACCAGGTCTCCTCTTGGCGTGCACACATGGATGGTTTCAAGCGACAGTGCCTGCTCCTTTGGATACTCAATCTTCCTTATCTTAGAGAAACCACAGGATGGTTTATATAGCTCAAACGCTCCCTCTATTGGTGTTATAGGGGTATGCCATAAATAGATTGGGAAAATTTACTTTTTTTTCTTCTTATTTTTTTTAATAGAATAGAGATGCCCAAGGGATCCGTTATCAGGCAAAAAAGAACAAAAAATCCTATCATTGAGTGCTCACCTCCCTGATACGATTGTTGAAGACAAATGGGTGCATAAGCAAATGTGGTGAAGAAAGCTGATGGTGCCCGGTTATCAAAAGATATAGTGTCTGGGGTCTTAAAGGCTAGATGGTAAACAAGTGGCCATCTAGCTCAGAAGCAACAAAGCCCACATGGAAGAAGCACACCAGCCTGTGTGATCATGAGGTGTCAAAGGGATCAGGTTTCAGGCATCATCAGAATAAAAAATCATATCATTGTGAATGAGGGGGGTGGAGTGCTGAGTGGAGACCCAAAGCCCATTTGTAGGCCACTGGACATCCCTTTACAGAAGGGTCTTGGGGAGGAGAAGAGCCAGTCAGGGTGCTATGTAGCAAGGATATATACAAATACACAACTTTCCTCTAGTTCCTAAATGCTTCACCCCCTCCCTCACTATCATGATCCCAATTCTACCTTACAAATCTGGGTAGATCAGAGGATGTACACTGGTGCAGATAGGAACTGGAAACACAGGGAATCCAGAGTGGATGATCCCTCCAGGACTAGTGGTGTGAGTGGTGATACTGGGAGGGTGGGTTGGAAAGGGGGATCTGATTACAAGGATCTACATATAACCGCCTCCCTGGGGGAACTGACAACAGAAAAGTGGGTGAAGGGAGGGGTCAGACAGGGCAAGATATGACAAAATAACAATTTACAAATTATCAAGGGTTCATGAGGGAGTGGGGAGTGGGGAAGTGGGGGAAAAATGAAGAGCTGATGCATGGGGCTTAGGTGGAGAGCAAATGTTTTGAGAATGATGAGGGCAATGAATGTACAAATGTGCTTTACACAAATGATGTATCTATGGATTGTGATCAGAGTTGTATGAGCCCTAATAAAATGATTAAAATAAAGGCTGAAGGATTTACTATATGTCACCCAATTCAGGGTGACTCCATGTGTTTTAGAGGTGCGCGGCACGCCATGGGGTGGGCGATAAAGGGCTGTGCTACTTCCGTAGAGTGTCCAGCCAGTGTTCACAGGCCCCTCTGGATGGATTGCCCCACCCCCTTTTCAGTCAGTACTTGAGCACTTCAACCTCTGTGCTACCCAGTGACTCACTTCAAAGCCAAATTTCAAAATACAAATACCCCCATTATAAAACTTGTATATTCTAAATACTCTTTAATAATCAGAGTCATAGTTTATGCCTGTGGTCCTGGAAAACATGTTACATTTACAGTGTTGCCTATCTGCTCACTGCATTCCCTATAAATATATTTAACATCCTCCTTCAACTGTTAAATAGATGTTTCAAAATTAGCATGTCCATAATTAAAGACTGGATTTTTCCTCCAAAATTTTTATCCTTCTCATCTTTCAGATATCTGTAAAGGATCCTGTCCCCTGCTGAAAAAAAGATGAAAATCCCTGATAAATATGGAAACTACTAGTCCAAAGACTAAGGTACCACATGAAGTTCAGCCTCCAACACTTTAAGATTAGAACTTACATGGTGCCTGAGTAATATTTCTCTGTAACAAAACATCAAAGGTCCTGGAGCAAGAGGGAGAATAATGTGGAACTTAACTCTGGCTTACAAGTCTGATAGAGTTTGGTGGAACCCCCAAGACAATAGCCCTGAGTCACTCCTTAGGTCTGAAACTGAACTCAGTGTAGTGTTAGAATAACCCAGATCCCGAAATAATGTCGCTATTTCCATATTACATAATTGAGGTAGGAACACTCAACAACTAGCGAACCCCCAGATTGGATCCTTCACATGTGGGGCAAGGGTTATCACGGTAGCAAAGACCAGAGGACGTCATTAGAATGTTGGAAATTAGTAAAGCAAACGCAATATTGTGTTCCACGTGTCTTTATAGCATACTAACATCCTCCTCTCTTCCACCTTTGGGCGGTGGGGG